CTCGCAGCACCCCAAGAGTCAGCACCCCCAGTCGCAGCACCCCCAGAACCAGCACCCCCAGCCGCAGCACCCCCATAACCAGCACCCCCAGGCACAGCACCCCCAGAACCCTCACCCTCTGTCTCAGCACCCCCAGTCTCAGCACCTATAGTCTCAGCTCCAGAGTCCACAGCAGCAGGCTGCGGAGGCGGCGAAGATGGTCGAGGCGGAAAACCCGGGGGGGTCTCCAAGCGTGGAGAGCGGCGAGTGGCCGCCGTGTCGTCCGCAACTGGGTCACCCCCCTCAGCAGGGCCAGAGGAGTCAGAAGAGAACTCCACTGGCTCATCCAAGGGGGGTGGGTCGACCTGAGACACACCTGAGGGAGCAGGACCCTGTGGGGGGAGGGGGTCTACCGGGGGGGGGGACTGGTACCAGGAAGAGGGGTGCAAGGGGGACCGGGTGGGACGCGTGCGGGTGCAGCTGGTAGAAGCAGACAGACTCGTCAAAGGTGACGTCCTGGGAGGCGAAGACTCGACGCGAGGGCGGGTGGTAGAACTGCCACGGCGGGGCATCAGTGGGGAAGCCAAGGAAGACGCAGCGGAGAGTGCGAGAGGAGAGCTTGCTCGCTTTGGCATCGCGAACAAGGGAGAGCGCGCCCCAGACCCGAAACAATGACGCATCACCAGGCTTCCGCGTCCACCGGAGGATGGGCGAGGTCTCTGGCACAGAGACACGGGGCCAGAGGTTGAGCTGATGCGCAGCGTATCGGACCGCAAACGGCCACAGAAAATGGGGAGCAGACGCATGGATCATGGAGGTGCGAGCAACCTCCATGATCAAGCCAATGCGACGCTCAACAATCCCATTCTGCTGAGGAGAGGCCAGAAGCGTGAAAGTCTGGCGGATGCCCTCGTCTCGACAGAACCCCGCAAGGAGGTCAGAGGAGAACTCACCGCCCCTGTCAGAGTGCAGACGCAGGACAGGGAAGTCCTGCTCAAACCGTTCGTGCAGCTGGAGACGAGTAGCACGGATCCAGGAGATCAGGACATCGCTGACGTCCGCCTTGCGCCGCAAGGGGAAGACAGAGGTGTAGCGTGTGTAGTCGTCAACAACCAGCAGGAAGTAGTGCTCGCGGTCCGTTCCACCGATGGGGGCCGGGCCCCACACATCCATGTGGAGAGTCTGCAGAGAAGCAGTGGTCGGAGGAAACTCGGAGGAGTGAGGAGCGGCGCGCTGCCGCCCCTCGACGCAAGGAAGGCACGGCGGGGCAAGCGAGCGCGGCAGGGGGGGCAGGGTCCTGGGGAGGCCAGAGACAAGGAGACGGGAGTGCATGCTGCGTAGACGCGGCAGGGAGGGGTGACCAAGACGATGGTGCCAGCGCTGAGTCTCGTGCGTGAGTAATCTGCACGAGCAAGACGCAGCTAACTGTCCTGACGCAGACGCCCGACCCGACGCAGCCACCTGACCTGACTCAGCCACCTGTGCAGACGCAGTGGTCAGTGTGTACAGACTAGACCCAGACTGTCGAGTGAATGTAGCCAGGTGACGGCCAGTCCGGGAGCACGTACAGATCGCCACACGCTGCCCTCCAGGAATAAAGGTATCAACCCAGACATCCTGAATGGCAGCGTTGCTCACCAAGTTCGTCGAGAACGTGGGGAGGTGGAGACCTGACAGAGAGCCGGAGGGGACTGCTGGACAAGGGAGGACCGTGGAGGCTCTCGCAACTACTGGGCCCCCAGAGGGGTCAGCCAGTGAGACTAGGACAGGTGCTGTGAGTGGTGTGACTGTGGTGCAATCACGAAAGAAGCAACGTGACGCGCCTGAGTCAAGCGTGAAAGTGTGCAAGACCTCATCTGAGGCAGGACCTGTGGCAGTAGACGCACTAGCACCTAGAGCGTCGGCAGACTCACGAGCACCTAGAGCTGCAGCAGACTCACCGGCAGCAGACTCACTAGCACCTGGAGCGGCAGCAGACTCACTAGAACCGAGAGCAGTAACCTCGACACAGCCAGGGACGCATCGCTGAGAAGCACAGTCGCGAGGTCGCTTAGGCCACATAAAATCAAAACCTCCACCACCAGGACGGCCTCGTTGAACCAACCACTCACGAAGCTGCTGAGGGGTGGGGTCGTCCGGGAGAGGCAGTGCCCGCTGCCGTCCACCCCTGGTCGCAGCAATTGCCGCGATAGTGGCCATGACAGACAGTGACGGTCAGGAGTAGGTCCAGCACCTCCAGCTCCTCCAGCACCAGCAGCACCTCCAACTCTCCCAGCAGCACCTCCACCGGCAGCAGCAGTAGCACGAGTAGCAGCAGCAGTAGTAGAAGCAGCAGCAGCAGTGTTTTTTTTTTTTTTTTTTTTTTTTTTTTTTTTTAGGGTTTAGGGTTACGCGCGGCCCACGGGCTGCAGGGGCGGCGCGCGGCACGGCAGGGCGGCGCGCGGGCTGCAGGGGCAGCGCCCACGGGCTGCAGGGGCGACGCGCAGCTCGGCAGGGCGGCGCGCGGGCTGTAGGGGCGGCGCGCGGCTCGGCAGGGCGGCGCCCAGGCTGCAGGGGCGACGCTCGGTTCGGCAGGGCGGCGCGCGGGCAGCAGGGGCAGCGCCCACGGGCTGCAGGGGCGACGCGCGGCTCGGCAGGGCGACGTACGGGCTGCAGGGGCAGCGCCCACGGGCTGCAGGGGCAACGCGCGGCTCGGCAGGGCGGCGCGCGGGCTGAAGGGGCAGCGCCCACGGGCTGCAGGGGCGACGTGCGGCTCTGCAGGGCGGCGTACGGGCTGCAGGGGCGACGCGCGGCTCTGCAGGGCGGCGTACGGGCTGCAGGGCAGCGCCCACGGGCTGCAGGGGCAACGCGCGGCTCGGCAGGGCGGCGCGCGGGCTGCAGGGGCAGCGCCCACGGGCTGCAGGGGCGACGCGCGGCTCGGCAGGGCGGCGCGCGGGCTGCAGAGGCAGCGCCCACGGGCTGCAGGGGCAGCACGCGGGCCACAGGGGCAGGCACGGCTGCAGGGGCAGCAAGGTCGCAGGGGCAGGCACGGCTGCAGGGGCAGCACGGTCGCAGGGGCGAGTACGGCTGCAGGGGCAGCACGGTTGCAGGGGCGAGTACGGCTGCAGGGGCAGCACGGTCGCAGGGGCGAGCACGGCTGCAGGGGCAGCACGGTCGCAGGGGCGAGCACGGCTGCAGGGGCAGCGCGGTCGCAGGGGCAGCGCGCGGGCTGCAAGGGCAGCGCGGCTGCAGGGGCAGCGTAGGAAGAAAACTTTTACGGTTAGGGCAGGGCGGAACGTTCGGTGGGCCCTAGGAACGATTCTGCTCTAATACCATGTTAGAATAAGCAGGCAGGAATGATTGCATTGAGCAGCAGGATGAGTACAAGTATGAAACCCTAAAGGGTTGTACTCACTAGAGTATGCCCCACATATTTTCTTTTACAGCTTCATTTTGTGATGCATGTGTCAGAATCCCAACCACTAGACCATTGGGATAAAAGGGCTTGTTTCAGTAGCGGGTCAGTGCGCCCATAACCCCCCAGGCTAACATGCCTGTAGCCCCCCTAGGATAATTCGGGGATCTCACGGTGCAGCTCTACTGACAGCATGAAAAGAAAGTACCCTTAGTTGAATCCTTATCTAAAGTTAACTCCAAACGTCATTATGAAACATCATACACCTTTATGTATCACCCGTAGTAACCACTTCAGCACTGGCATGGGAAGCACTAGGTTGGGCTTTCTCCATAAACTGTTGCGGAGGAGGAGTCCTACTCTTGTTTTCTCTGAAATCTGCACTCCGCCAAGCATATGCACACACAAGACAAAGGTCATTTAGGTTGAGAAGGCACCCAACGTGTAATGCAATCAAAACACGCTCACCAATGGAGAGGGGCCTCAGCCACGGCTGTTGAGCCTCCTGGGAGATGGAGGAGAGCGAACAGCACCAGTGCAGGCTAGAGGAATCAGATCGCCAAGCATGTGCATGTGTCTCTGTCACAGGATCAGGCTACCCAGCATGTGTCAGCACTAGTATTGCTCACAGGACACTCACCCATTGACAGGTCCCAGCCTTGGTTGTTGAGCTCTCGGCACTCCTGGGAGATGGCGCAGAACGCACAGCACCAATGCTGAAGCCTGGAGGAATCGGATCACCAGGTATGTGCATGCATCGCCCTCACAGGGCACTCACCAGCATGTGCCTCACAAGACGCAGGACACTCAGTGATAGACAGGTCCCAGCCACGGCTCTTAAGCTCTCGGTACTCCTGGGAGATGGCACAGAGCGCACAGCACCAGTGCATCCAGAGATCGCCACACCAGTGCAGGCTAGACGGACCGGGTCGCCACGCATGTGCGTGAGCCTCAGAGTGCACTCACCGATCGAGAGGTCCCAGCCATGGCTGGTGAGCTCGCGATACACGTACGTGAGGTCCCACGGGTCCTCACTCATGGGGAAGAGCAGCAAGGTGGAGATCCCTTTAGCAGTAGGATCAAAGACTCGTCCAGTAAACTGATTTCTCAGATAAAGAGAAGGCTTGCGAAGGAACTCGTCTCTTGATTACAAGACAAAGACAAGCATGTTTCGGCCTATCACGAGGGAAAAACCCGATCAGACCTTCATCAGTGCACTCATCGATAGAGAGGTCCCAGCCACGGCTGGTAAGCTCGCGATACTCCTGGGAGATAGCACAGAGCGCACAGCACCAGTGCAGCCAAGAGGAATCGGGTCACCAGGCATGTGGCTGTATAAGCCTCAGAGGCCACTCACCGAGGGACAGGTCCCAGCCACGGCTAGTCAACTCTCGGTACTCCTGGGAAACGGCACAGAGCGCACAGCACCAGTGCAGCCAAGAGGAATCGGGTCACCAAGCATGTGCCTGTATCGCCCACGCAGGACACTCACCGATAGACAGATCCCAGCCACGGCTCTTCAGTTCTCGGTACTCCTGGGAAACGGCACAGAGCACACAGCACCAGTGCAGCCAAGAGGAATCGGGTCACCAAGCATGTGCCTGTATCGCCCACGCAGGACACTCACCGATAGACAGATCCCAGCCACGGCTCTTCAGTTCTCGGTACTCCTGGGAAACGGCACAGAGCACACAGCACCAGTGCATCCAGAGATCCCCACAGGGCTTTTCTGGAAGGTCGTACCTAGCCCTTAGCGTTTCTCGGTATTCTGAGTACGGAGGGAGGGAGTGAATGGGAGGGGAGGGAGAAAGGGAGTTGGGTGAAACGGAGGAAGAAAGACTTTTGAGACATCTCAAAAGGCAGAGCACACAGCACCAGTGCATCCAGAGATCCCCACAGGGCTTCTCTGGAAGGCCGTATCTAGCCCTCAGCGCTTCTCGGTATTCTGAGTACGGAGGGAGGGAGGGAGGGAGGGAGGGAGGGAGGGAGGGAGGGAGGGAGGGAGGGAGGGAGGGAGGGAGGGAGGGAGGGAGGGAGGGAGGGAGGGAGGGAGGGAGGGAGGGAGGGAGGGACGGCTTTTGAGGCGTCTCAAAGGTCCGAGCACACAGCACCAGTGCATCTAGAGATCCCCACAGGGCTTTGCTGGCAGGCCGCACCTTGCCCTTAGCGTTTCTCGGTATTCTGAGTACGGAGGGAGGGAGGGAGTGGGGGGGAACGGCGAGAGGGAGGGAGGGACGTGGGGAAGAGGAGGTGGGAGGGAGGGGGGAAGAAGAGGGTGGGTGACAGTGGAGGGAAACGGGAAATAAGTGCACTGGAATCATGGGTACACGCAATATAGTGGCCGTGCCTTCACCTCATGAGTTTCGTATGGGAGAGAAGGGTACACTGAAGACGTGTAATGTCCGTATGCTACCTGGATCCGTCAGTTTTTTAGGCGCAAAAAATAAGCAAACGTGCGCATATTTGCATCCTCTCGATGCCTGAGACGTATAAAAATCCGCGTGTAAGTTGACTCAAACGTCACCTAGTAAACTCTAAAATCACCACGAAAAGCAAGAGAGAGCGGGAGAGAGTGAGAGTGGGTGGGAGAGAGCAGAGCACCTGTGGACACGATGCAGCCGTTGCACAAGAGGCACTCGGTGATGCACCAGAATGCCTTTTAAGCTGACTCAAACATCACCTAGTAAACTCTATATACACCTCAGAAAGAAAGCGAGAGTGGGAGAGATTGGGAGAGAGCAGAGCACCTCTGGACACGATGCAGCCGCACAAGAGCCACTCGGTGATGCACCAGAAGATGCAGATTTCACCCGCTTCTGAGATTCACAGGGCATGCAGCAGCATTGCATCATGAGTCAGTCGTGGGAAATCAGAGGCAAGGACGGCAATACTATATTACCAGAAACACATATGTGGTTACCAGCAAGTTCCTTCTACCAGAGGCCACATATAAGGATTACGTGACGCTTTTTGGGATGGTTGGTAGATGTCGAGTCGATATCATGCCATCTCGTATGCCAGGTGTCGTTATGCTCAGGATATGAGATCGTCGTGGCCTCTCAGCGGGACACCGACAGTCTTCAGGTGCGGAAAACGCGATCGTCGAAGCGACGCGTTTACTCCAGGAGGGATCCTGACATTGAAGGTCGTGAATCCCGCAGTGAGGCGGATCAGGACAGCGGCTGAAGGAGCTACGACTCGTAGCTCGTGTTGTTATGAGGCGCCTCACTACTTGGCGCGTTAGGTGCCAAGAAATTCTGAAGGTGCATTTAGGGGTTTAGGGCTAGTTCTGAAGGTGCATTCATAAAAGAATCAGGTCAGCTACTACTACGACTCCTCGTGGCTTCGTAGCGGCGAGATTCTCTCCAGTTGGGCCTAGCCCGAGAAAGCTATCATACTTAGCGGAAGGGCCGATCCGTTCTAAGCGATTCGTGAGTGTACAGGCGTGTCATTTCCATCAGCGCTCTTCGACAAGTCGTGAAGCACTTCGCATTCGCGGCCTACGAGGTGCTAGTTTGCCTGAATTGCACTCTATCGCACTGGAAAAGAGAGAGGATTCGGTAGTAGCTCACCGTTTTTGCCTGCATCCACGATGTTAGCGACTCGGCCAATGGCTACACAGGGACACCAAAGGACGAGACAGCCTGTAACATGGCGCAGGGCAAAGAATCAGATTGCGAGTGTCAACGAAGAACTAACTACAGCTATATGTGAACGATTTGTACCCTAAGAACGTAAATGTTACATGATGGCATATCTTCGAAACAGCCGCACCAGCTAGAGGTCCATTGGCCCAACTCGGGGTAATCGCCTTCCGCCATGCCGCCTAATCGACTAAACAAGATGCTGCTTCTCGAAGGTGGCGAATAAACTTCGATTTCTTCCCAAATAAAATGGCAGATGTCGCAAATGTGCTTGCCCGGAGGTTTCGAGCGATTTCAAGCCCGAAGCGAGGGAGATGAATGAACAGAAAAGAATGTAGCTTTGGAAAAGGAATCGCGCCGCGGCACAACGGGAATCTTGCAAGTCGCCGTGCTCCGGATTCGGTTTGGGGTGCATTTGATTGGTTAATACAGGTTTGGTTCTATTTCTATTTCTATTCTGGTTCATACAGGGCGACACCCGAATTGCTCAACGGAGTCAAACCGGGAAAATAGGTTCGGAAAGGCAGGCAATAGGAGGTTCGGAAAACTTCCGAAACCCTTTTGCCCTGAACCCAGTAGGGGCGAGACGCAAACTGGGGCCAGTTTGTGAACGCTTTTCTGTAATTCGGGGGCCAGTTTGGTTTTAGTTTTGATACAACATGAACAAACAAACTACAAAAGAACAAAAGAATATAAGCCATATTATTCATTGTACAAAATGCTGCCACATGGTGTTCTATTATTCACTATGAGCAGTAAACGCCACATCATATGCCTGTTCTCCTCGCCGGCCGAGCATATTTCCGGTCCCAAAGCGTCCTACCAGAGAGAACGGACGAGAGCAGGGCTCTCGGTATCAGGGTAAAACACCCTGATTGCACTGACTGGCGGCCCTTTTTTTTCAGTTACCCTTTCCCAGGAAGGGTAATGGGATTTTTACCCTAGGCCAGAAAGTGTAAGTTTATTTTTTCCCTTTGAAAAACAGCGTTATAGGATTTATTTCTCTGACTGGAACAGGGTACGATCTCAACTACACTGATATCGAAGGCTCTCTTTGCGAGATAAGAGCAACTTCGATCCCGCGCAAAGTACTCCCAACAGCGGGAATCGAACGTGCAACCTTACAGATCTAATACGCAAGCTTACCAACTGAGCCACCAAGTGTTGAACCACTCTTGCATTTATTTATACATATACAAAGTGTACCAAGAAAATTACCCTGCCCAAACAGACTTATAGTTTTTTTACCCTGAATTTGTCAGGGGATTTTTTTTTTTACCCTACGCATCAGGGTTGACTATACCTAGAACCCTGATTACTAAGGGTGGCCCAAAACGAATCTGAAGCCCTGGACGAGAGGCGCTGAAAGAGAGTCCCGCGAGCAACACCACACGAGGCAAAGAACCATTGCACATTGCAACCATATGAAATTAGTAAACAACAAAACCAAAAAATTGAAGGGAGGGGAGGGGGGCATGGAGGGGAGGGAGAGGGGGAGGGGCGGAATCACGGGGCAAGGAGAAGCAAATAATTGGAGAGGGAAGGCCAACGGCAGACAACGATGATCACATGTATAACTCACCATGTGAGTGCTTGCTGCACATTTGTGTCGACTCAAAATTCAACCAGATCATCTTATGTTTTTTAGGCGCCTACAAAATCACACGAGTCCTCCTGACCACACGACAAGTATATTCACCATATGAATGCTTGCTTACTGTACATTTGAGTCGGCTCATAAGTCAACCTGATCTGCTTATGTCTTTTAGGCGGCTAAAAAATCACCAGAGTCCTGACCACATGACACGTATACATACCATATGAGTGCTTGCTTGCTGCACATTTGAGTCGGCTCAGAAGTCAACCTAGCCACCTTGATTTTTGAAGCGCCTTTTTGTCGGAGACCTGAATTACCGAGTCGGGAGGCAACTGCCTCCCCAAGGCACTGGGATTTTGAAGTGAATGGTTTTCAAGGCGCCTCGATTTTGAGGCGCCTCTTCTTAAGGCACCTGCTTTTGAAGGCTCCTCAAGGTGACAGTTTGCCTCCCCAAGGCACTGGGATTTTGAAGTGATTGATCTCCGGTTTCCTGCCGAACCTCCTGCTGGGGTTTTCCGAACCTAAACTTCCCCTGTTGACTCTGTTGTGCAATTCAGGTCTCGCCCATTAAATGTCACCTAATCACATATACACCTACCATGTGAGTGCTTGCTGCATTGATCGCTTCAGCACACGCAGCACCACCCCCCGGAAGAAACCAGGACGGCAATGCGACTGGGGGGTGGGGGGGGGGGGGGGGAGAGGGGCGGAGAGGAGGAAACAGAGGAGATGGGGGACACGGTGGGGAAGGAGGGGACAGATGGGACAGAGAGGGGATGGAAGGGGCCAAAAGCGCGAAACAAGAAACGACTCTTAAGAAAGGCCCTGCGACTGGAGGGGGAAGGAGAGGAAGAAACAGAGGAGATGGGGGACACGGGGGAAGAGGAAGGGACGGATGGGACAGAGGCGATGGAGAGGACGGAACGGAAGGGGCAGGAAAGGATGGGCGATGAAGAGGGAGCAAAATTCTGCTTTTGAGTCGACTCAAAAGGAGGGGACGGATAGGACAGAGGCGAAGGAGAGGACGGAACGGAAGGGGCAGGAAAGGATGGGCGATGAAATGGGAGCAAAATTCTGCTTTTGAGTCGACTCAAAAGGAGGGGACGGATGGGACAGTGGCGATGGAGAGGACGGAACGGAAGGGGCAGGAAAGGAGGAGAAGTGGGAGCAAAGATCATCAATGGTCGTCGACTCAAAAGTCATTCGACTCAACGAAAAAAAAAAAAAAAAAAAAAAAAAAAATTCCATGAGAAATGCAAGCACGAATTACTTCCTGGAGCTGCTGTTGCTGGAGGTACTGCTGGAGATACTGGAGCTTCTGGTGCTGGAGGTGCTGTTGGTGCTGGAGCTGCTAGTGCTGGAGGTGCTGCTGGTGCTGGAGGTGCTGGAGCTGCTGGTGCTGGAGGTGCTGCTGCTGCTAGTGCTGGAGGTACTGGAGGTGCTGCTGGAGCTCCTGGTGCTGGAGGTGCTGGAGCTGCTGGTGCTGAAGGTGCTGCTGCTGCTGCTAGTGCTGGAGATCCTGGAGGTGGTGCTGGTGCTGGAGGTACTGGAGCTACTGATGCGCTTCGCCACCATCTCGGTCTCCCGCCACCTGCTACTGACTTCCCTGCCGCTGGTACTACTCCTCCGTTACTGTTCCCACCGACAGACCAGTCTCAGCCACAGCTACTGCCTGGCTCTCCGCTGCCTGCTCCTGCTCTTCACACTGAGGTGACTGAGTCCCTGACTGAGCGTCGTGAGCCTGAGACTCGTGCTTCCACACCTGTTCGTGCTCGTCGTGTTGCCCGTCCTCGTGCTCCGGCTGTCCCAGGCACTCACGTTTTGGCACTCCGTCCTTCCTCTGTTCCACAACGTGTTGTCCTGCCGTCACCTCCTGCGTCTTGTCTTCCTCACGTGACTGACCCTGAGTCTGACTCTGTTCGTGCTACCAGTCCGACTGTCACTCGTTTTCTTGCCATGTGTGTGACTGACCCTGCGTTTCCGTCCCCTGCCGCGAGTGCCTTAGTAGCTGAGCTTGTTGACTTTGCTGCTAAATGCCGCCTTGACTACACTGCGAGTCTTGTTTCTGGCTCTGAATGTCCTCCGTCCGTCGGGGGTGAGACTGCCCTTGGCTGTGACGTTCTTCAGGACAGGCAGTTTGAGCTTGAGTACCTAGCGGCTGCTTCACCGCATCTCGTTGCCATGCTGTTTTGCCTTGAGGGAGACCCGGATGCACTGGACATCCCTACCCCACGCTCTCACGCAGAGGCGATCTCGCCATGGACGCAGAGACGGCTTCCTGGAAGTCCACAGGCACCTACGTTGACGAGGTTCCCCCTCCTGGGGCGAACATTGTTGATGACATGTGGATATTCATAGTGAAGCGGCCACCGGGTTCTCCGCCTGCCTTCAAGGCACGTTCCTCGTTGCTCGAGGCTTCAGTCAGCGTCAGGGGGTCGACTTCTTTCAGACCTTCTCCCCTACCCCGAAGATGACCACTCTTCGGGTGTTGCTGCACGTTGCAGCACTGCGTAACTACGAGCTGCACTCCCTCGACTTCTCGACAGCCTTCTTGCAGGGCAGCCTTCACGAGGCCATCTAGCTGCGCCGCCCACCTCGCTTCACTGGGTCATTTCTTGAGAGTACCCAGTGGAGCCTATGGCGGCCAGTCTACGGCCCGCGCCAGGCGCCCCGCGAGTGGCACGACACACAAAGGACGACACTTGCGGCTCTTGGTTTCGCTCCCTCGACTGCTGACCCGTCGCTGTTTCTGCGCACTGACACTTCTCTGCCGGCATACGACTTGGTCTTTGCTACTGCTGACTCTGAGGCACTGACCCTTGTGAAGGCGGAGCTGCAGAAGAGACACACTTGCACTGACCTGGGTGAGTTGCGGAGTTATCTTGGCTTGCAGATCACCCGGGACAGAGCACGGCGCACCATCACCCTGACTTAGTCACACATGGTGCACCAGGTCCTTCAGCGCTTCGGCTTCACGTGGTCCTCGCCACAGCCCACTCCTCTGCCTACAGGCCACTCGCTCTCAGCTCCACATTCAGACGAGTCCGTAGAGCCGAGTGGTCCGTATCCAGAGCTTGTGTGTTGCCTCATGTACCTGATGACGTGCACTCGACCTGACCTCGCGTACCCTCTCAGCCTCCTGACTCGCTAGGTGGCTCCCGGTATATACCGAAAGGTGCACTGGGAAGCTGCGAAGAGGGTACTGCGTTACTTGTGCAGTACATCGGGCATGGGGCTTGTGCTTGGAGGACGGGACTCAGTGGTACTCACAGGTCACTCAGACGCTTCCTGGGCCGACGACCAGGCGACTCAGCGGTCGTCTCAGGGTTACACCTTCAGTCTTGGCTCTGGTTCTGTCTCGTGGAGGTCCACTGGTTCGTATTCTGTGCTTGGTTCTAGCTGT